ACTGTTTTAGACTTCTGGGGCTAAACTTACCTGTCACGGTGAATGTATCTACACCTTTGGAAATGATGTGCAAAAATAAAAAAATATATGAGTTGCGGCTGGCCCGGTGGCATGGCAAAGTTCACATGCTCCGTTTCGGTGGCTCAGGGTTTGCCAGTTCAGATCCTGGATGCAGACATGCACGGCTTATCCAGCCATGCTGTGGCAGGTGTCCCACATATAAAATAGGGGAAGATGGGCACAGATGTTAGCTCAGGGCCAATATTCCTCAGCAAAAAGAGGAGGATTGGCGGTGGATGTTAGCTCAGGACTAATCTGCCTCAAAAAAAAAAAAATGTGAGTTGAGAGTAAACGTAACATGTCTCAAACATACATGCTACCTTCTTGCCAAAGTTTTACCAATCTAGTCAATTTTTTTGTCACCCGCAATACGGTAAAGTTAAAGTCACTGATTTTTAACATAGACTTAGAAGTTGTTTTCCTTCTCTTCTAAGCGCTCAGTGGTTCTGTTTTTTTGTTTGTTTATTTGTAGCTGGAAAGTGAAATAACCTATGACAAACTCAACAAGTGGACCAGCAAAGACACAATGGCTGAAGATGACGTGGAGGTGTTTGTCCCACAGTTCAAATTAGAAGAGCATTATGAACTCAAATCCATTCTGAGAAGAATGGGCATGGATGATGCCTTCAACGAGGGCCAGGCTAATTTCTCAGGCATGTCAGAAAGAAACGACCTGTTTCTGTCTGAAGTGTTCCATCAAGCCACGGTGGATGTTAACGAGGAGGGCACTGAAGCAGCTGCTGGCACTGGGGCCATTATGTCAGGGAGAACTGGCCATGGAGGCCCACAGTTTGTGGCAGATCAGCCCTTCCTCTTCTTTATCATGCACAAAATAACCAAGAACATCCTCTTTTTTGGCAGATTTGCCTCACCCTAAAATTGAAAGGTTCTGTTTCTGCACAGGATTTTGTAATATGAGCTATAAGCCTCAGATTTGCTCTAGTGCCCAAAATTTAGAGACTTTTTCTATATATTTCTGTTTTTCTGAACCTCTATTACCCCCTAAATATAAATACAGAAATAACTAGACAACTGTCAATCACAGCATTAGCAACCCTATTAATCCTTTGATCTAAAATGGGATTATGTCCCATTTAGTTCTTCCTTACTCTTAGTTTATTTTATAGCATTATCTTTTGCTGTATTATTTATTATTTTGTAAAATGGTTTTTTAATTGTTGTTCACTATTTAATGAGGCTGATACCATTACAAAGCAGGTGATCAGTTATTTTTGTTTCTAAGGAAATGCATTTATTTGTTCTTATCATGAAGGATCAGTAGGTGTCCTCTGTGCCCGTTTATAATAAAAATCTAGAAGAAAGTATTGAACAACAAGGAAATATATATTTGCATTTCTAGCATTATGTATCACATAGATGTGTCAGTAACTTATGTAAAATCACAAATATACAATAAATAAACATGTTTCACACAACCATTTATTTGTTGTCATTTTATTAGGTCTTCAGATCATAAGACCTGTTATATCTTGATTCTCAGGAATCAGGCATTATGGTTCATTTGTGGGAAGGAAGAAAAAATAGACAGAATAAAGGAACCAAGGAGATAACCAAACCTCTTGCAAGGAGCCATAGTGTTGGGGGTGGGATGATGTTATGTGAAAAATGCTTTAGAGCTTAGAGCTGCCTTCTCACACCAGTAAAAGGCATAGCAATTCAGAATAGTTTGGATCAGAGTCCCTCGGGGACACTCATGTTTAAACCTCAAGAACATCAAGAATAAGCCTCAAGTCCAGTGGTCCAGACATAGAATCAAGGTCACAGTCACTGAGCTGACAGTTCAGAGGAGTGGAGATGGGCTGGGTGCAAGAGCAGGAGGGGAAACACAAGATGGCTTCTTTTAAAGGCGTTTGGTTCAAATAGCACTGAATACTTTTGAGTGAACATAACAGAAGTGCTGAGAGCTAAGGCAGATCCGAGGTTTGGAGAGTCTGAGCTCGCTGCAGGGTCTGGCTGCAGAAGTGTGGCTGGATCCTGGAAATGCACCTCAGTCATCACCCTCCTTGTGGCGGAAGGTGGGGATGGATGACCCCCTGGAGCGTGGTGGCTAAAGAGGTAGCCTCAGGACCTTGACTCCAAATCCCAGTTCTAACACTTACAAGTCTAACCATGGGCGAGGAGTGGTGCTTTGTCACGCTTCGGTTTTCTTTCAGTGTAAGCTGGGAAGATAATGCTTTCCTCGTAAGGCTGCTATGATGATCAAATGAATTCATACATAAGCAATTGAAAGAATGCTTAGCATATACAGTATTTAACAAATAATAGCGATTATGATTATTATCTTTGTCAGTAACAAAACTGTCTCACTTTCAGCTGATCAAACATGGAATCCCAGAAAATTATTCAGTTAATTTTTTAAGGCTGGAATTGTGATTTTTTTCCCCCTTTAATCAGATATTCATAAAAATTGGGGCGGTTCTTGCTTCTTGCATTCTTCTTCTTACTTTTAGATTCATTTTTCTATGTAGTTCAATAATTCATTCAGCAAGTCAACAGGTAGCAGCTTTCTGAATCACTGTGAATCTTAAGATATCCATATTTCTCTCTCGTTATTGAATTAGAGCATGAGCATAGAATTCTAGGTTCGGAGCACTCTTCAGCACTTTAAGGGGAAGATTTTTCTATCTTCTGGCACCAAAGTTGCTGATGGGAAAGTTGATATCAAGATAATTCTTGCTGCTGATAATTTTAATAATTTTCTCTTTATTCTTGATGATGTTCCTGATATTTCATTGCATTAAGGGTAATTTTTAAATTGTTTTTTAAAATTTATCTTGCTTATCAGCAGATTTTTTTTCCATCTGGAAACTTGCATATTGCTTCACTTCTGGGAAAGTCTCGGTCATCGCTATGGACTGAATGTTTGTGTCCCCCTAATAGATATATTGAAATCCTAATTCCCAGTGTGATGGTACTTGGAAGTGGGGCCTATGGGAGGGAATTAGGGTTAGCTTAGATCATGAGGGTGGAATCCTCCTGATAAATTCGTGCCCTTACAAGGAGAAGAAGGGACCAGAGCTTCCTCTTTCCACCATATGTGGACACAGAGAGTAGGCAGCCATCTGAACCAAGAAGAGAGCCCTCACCGAGAATCCAACTATGCTGGCACCCTGATCTCATGCTTCCAGCTTCCAGAACTGTAAAAAATAAATGTTTGCTGTTTAAGCCACCCAAGCTATGGTACTTTGTTACAGCAACCCAAATTGAATAAGACAGCCATGCCATTATCCACTCAGTTGTCTCTGCCCCACTCTATTGACTTTCTTCCAGATTCCTATTAGAATAACACTGATGCACCTGGAGTTCTTCTCTCTGTTTCAACAAATTTTTGAATGCCTACTAAAGTCATTCAGTCTAAACATTAAATATCATAAAAGGACTAGAACAAAAATTCTTCCTCCCACCCCAGTTCCCCATTCATTTAGTTCATATTCTTCCATCCCCACTAGTAATAACTGTACATATTACTAAATACACATAGGACAGGCCATAAATAACAACAAACAAAATTATGCTAACGGTATTATATTGTTAACCTAAGATATTATTATCTCTTTCTTCCCCCTCCCCAACAGGCACCAAAATAATGGGCAATTATGATTTTATTGATGTAGGTAGTATATCTATGTGTAAGGATTTTAATCAAGAGCTAAGTGAGGAAGAAATCTGGAGAAGGTTTTGGGGGGAAAAAAATGAGTAAAACTTAGTCTGTGACTTTAAAGAAGATGGAACAATTTCTTGGCTGGTTCAGAAGAATCTACATTGACGCATTTAATGCAAGATAAGTAACTGGAGCAAGTCTCCACGCTGTGCAGTGACGCAGCACAAGCCATTCTCTGGTGAACCACTGTGACTCAAGATGAGCAGTCCCTCTATCTAGAGCCTCCTTATGACAGTTTCAGCTAATAATAGTCTGGAGGCATCCTTGGATAATAATATCTGCTCAGCACACGTCAGTCAGGCAGGCCTCACAGGATTTCCTACCACAAGTCACATTTTCTGGTGAAATCCAGAGAAACATTCTGCTCTAGGTTCCACACCGACATTCAAATATTAAACTCTGAGCCAGTTTACCAGAAGATATGTGTGCCTCTATGAAGGGACAAATGGAAACTACATGAAGAAAAACATACCAAATATATTATAAACAAATAGGCTCTGCTTTTCCCTTAATCCCTTCTGGATTGTTTCTCCATTCCCATCCGTCTCTTCACACCCTCCTCTGTTCCTTGAAGCACATGCATGCTGTGGTAGAAAATGAGACTATAAAGTATTGTTTTCCTTCCTAGTAAATATGGAGGAGTGAGGGAACACTCACAGGGAGAAATAAAAGAGAACCAGAAAATGATGAACCAACATCTGACTCAGTGACTGTATCTAAAACACTGATCTAGACCTCTTGTCCCTGGGGTGGGGAGAATGGACATCTCACTCATTGGAGTTACGCTTAGGGTTCTATACCAAAACTCCAAATGAGAAGAGTAACCTTAACAGTTTAACAGTAAATACTTCACCAATAATATTTTCCATTTCATTGCCCATGATTAATCCACTAATTTTGAGCTCTTTCTTTTTTGGTTTTTTAAAAAAAGATCTATTGGGAGAAGCACTCTAATTGTTGCCAGTTGGCAGACTAGAGAGGAGATCAAGCAAGGAAACTGTGAATTACGATTTGTCAGAATTCAGGTTTTGACATGTGACCAGACATGGAAAATGTGAGTAATTAAATAATTTAGGCAGAATCTTAATCTTCTATCTCTTTGTCTTTTTATTTGAGCTTCTGGCCAAGATAAACCTGAAAAGAAGAGTGTACAGTCTTGCGAATATGGATCAAAGGGTGGGGCTAAGAAGAAGGAGGTGCTAGAATTTTTTTTAAATTTCTACAGTTAAAAGTTACTTAACTCAGCCACAATCCCTCTATCTTACTGAAGAAGCAAATTGCCAATCCTGTTCCGGTGGAAGAAAACAAGGTATTGTAAACACTTCTTCTTAAAATGTTTATTTATGTTTTCCTTCTTTGTTGAAGTGCCTAGCTAAATAACAAATGATCAGGAACCTCCAAAACAGAAATAATAGATAAAGTTTCAACCCCCATGAATTCTGTGCCAGTCAGAGAGATTTAACCTTGAGCTGGTTAAAAGTCTGTACTAGAAAGAGCGTTAAGAGGGAGAGAGCATTCATTTCCAAAGAAGGTAAATTGTTTTGCCAGGAATTGTGAGACAATGAATGGAGTTTCCTCCAGTCACATTTCTGGATTTGTTACCTCTGTATCTGTCAACATCGGCAAAGAGACATAGACCATTCTCAGAATAATTGAGCCAAAACCCTTCTAACTCTTCAGCAGAGTGGGCTTGGCAACATGAATTTGACCCTGGTCATTAATGTATGGAGCTAATGGTTTGACTCTTTACCCCTCATCCCCACCCAATGTTACCCAACCTGAAGTAAGTTCGCTCACCTGTTGCACAGCAAGCCAATTTCTGACACCGGGTGTGGTGGAAGAAAGTAGGAATTTATTTTTGCACAGCGCTGAGCAAGGAGAGAGGGCAGCCAATGCTGAAATCCCAAACTCCCCAAAAAGCTAAAAGGAAGCGTTTTTATTTGGGGTTTTAGATAGGGGAGGGGGAGCATATGGCCTTGCTGATCGGAGCTTTCCCACCAGCCTGTCTTTGGCCTTGAGACACTTGCAGAGAGGATGGAGCCCGTGACCTTGCTGGTCAGCAGCTTTCCCACCAGCCTGATCTCTTTGTGGGGAGGAGATAATCCAGGTGCTTGTCCTTAATGGCATCTGTCTCCATGGAGGATAGTGGATTCTGGAGCCAGGAAGCCAGAGTGTTTGGGTTTTAACCCCGTATATGCTGGGTTTAATGTGGGGAAACTGATATCAGGGTCAGTATCACCAACATTCAGTCCTGGCCACCATTCCATGAGCCATTAGCTTTCTTCCATGGAATAGCCTAAGTCCTGGCTGCCCCCACCTTATAGCCGGTGCCCATCATAAAACACCCCAAACTATTACTTCCCTAAAATGGCTTTAGGTGAATATAGAAGTGCTGGGGAGAGATGTCATCTTCTGAAATGCACACCTCCGTGAAGTGGGTAATATCATCAGTATCTTCAGGAAGTCAAGAGGCCTTGGCTATTTTTTTATGGAAAAGGGGATGAAAATCCTTCCCACTGCCTCCTCCTGCTCATTGTCATCCCTCTTGTCTTCCTTCTCCTGTTCATCCTCTTTCATGACCCAATCCTTACCTTTATCATTAAAATCTTAAAGACAACTAAATACAATGACCAAAGCAATTGTATTCAGAATCTGGAGAATGGGAGTACTGTGATAACTCTGCTATTAGCAAGCCTTGCCCGTTAGTCAGCACATGTAACCGCTCCAGGCACTGTTTCCCAGCAGTTAAGTGAGTCAACTGGATTAGAGGGATTCCAGGTTCTTTCCAACTCTAATATGCTAAGAGTGTGTGTGTCTAGGAGGAGATACTTTGATGAGTGACACTATCCTTGTCTTACTCTCATAGTTGTCTCGCTTCTCCCCTAAGCGCCTTCACAGACCGAGATTTTACATATATATGTATTTATTTACCTAAACTGATATATCTTATATCCATGCACCTGTTGAGAGCCCCTGAAAATTGCAAAAGAGCAGTTCATTCTGAAAATGGCACACTAGGCTTCTGAGCTGGACATTTGTAGTCTTCTCTGAAAAGATCATTGTCCAATCCTTGTATGGACAAATTATGTCCTATAAAATCTCATTCCAATATTCTGCATCCTTCAGAAAGCACTTTTTACTGTTGGGTTAAATTTTACTAATGACTACATTACTGTAAATCTCTTTAGGGAAAAAAAAAGGAAAGGCAGGAATGTTTCCTCTTCTATGTTCTGGGCTACATCTGGACATATTAATGCTGTCATTAATGAGAGATAACTAGATAGTAACTTTTCACAAGAAAGTGGCTCTTTCATTAGAGAGATTTATTGTTTTCAGGAATTTTTAACAAGTAATTAAACTCTAGAATAACCATAAACCACAGGTAGATAAAAATCTCAGGCCCTAAGATGGTGCTGTCTCCTTTCTTCCCTTTACCATGAGTAAGGTTTGGCTACAGACTCAAGCATTTTCCACAGAATCTAGTTCACGAGTTCTAACAAGGTAAAGTTTAATATGTAGACAGTAAACAAAGCAATATTTCAATGACTATAGCCCTAAAGGAAATAGAGACGTTATTTCCAAGATCTGTCAAGGATTGGATAACAAGAAAAATTACTCACAGGTAAGTTTCAAATATTTTATGAAGGTGTGGAATTATTACAAAACTAGAATTATTTTTTTCTTTAATCAATTGTTTGCCTAGGATTATTACTAGTTTCTGGAATTCAACAGGGGCGTGATTGAGAGGCTGGGAAACTGTTTTGTTAAGTGTAAGCCTATGGCTGGCGGGATTTCAACAGTATCACTGTTAATCCAAGTTACGATGAAACCAAAACTTTGTCTGCACATGTCTCCCCTTTGATTCAACTATTTAACTAGACAGAACTCCCGACCTTTCTAATGTTCTTATTCTAGGCTTCTCAGAGGGCCAGGTGATGTCAGGGGAAGACCAAGTTCTATACGACATTGACACTAATGGCACATTCTAGGCCCAGGAATTTGATTTATTTTTGGTCATTTAACAAGTTTGAGAAATTAGTTGGCTATAAAATGACCACAGATTGAACCAGCTATTTCTTTGATAGAGACTCAATCTTAAAAGATTTAAATAAAAATGTCAGAGTAATTAGAGGTGAAATTTAGAAGTTGAATATCAAAAAAATGAGACAACCTGAGTGCCAAGAAGACCAGTTTCAGAGGGTTTTGAGCGAGTGAGAATAAAGGCAAAAGAGTCTTGACTTCTCTACTTCTCTATAAGCATTTCCCACTAAATTGTGCATGATTTCAAGTCTAAATACATAAAAAAAGGTAGCGAGAGCCCAAGAAATGAGCATTGCAAACAAGTATTTATAAGTATCCATTTTGTGCAAAGTTCTGAGCTAGATGTTGTCCTCGGGATGTACAAAGCGGCGTAAGACAGTTCTGCTCTCAAGGAACTTACCCTACAGTTGGAAAGATATAAACATGAAAACAGAACTAGTAGTGCGATCAGTGTGAAGCAAGTAGCAAAACTATGTTGTGGGACTTGGGTGGCAGACATGGTCCTGTGCACCCAAAACATCAGGAAAAGCTTCCAGAGGAAAAAAAGGAATTTGAACAGACTTAAATTTCAATGGAATAAAGGAGGATAAAGGCATTCCAGAAACCAAGAGTATCACATATAAATGTGTAAAGGAATAAATAAAGTTAAAAAACATAAAATATGTATGGAAGATGAGTGAGAAAAATACAATGTGGAAAAGATGTATAATTATTTCTAATTTACTATGTAAAGTCAGAAGCCGCTTGGTATATTGAAAAGAAGCACTGGGCTGAGAGAGCACTGGGCTGGTTCCAAGGCCATTTTTACTGCGGCATTCCCAAGAAGGAGCTGCTAACAGACCAGAATCCAATCGTTCTCTGATGTGCTAGCACTAAAATTTGAGGCAATTCTCTTAAACTCTCTGGATTTCAGTTTTCCGATATATAAAATAATAATATTGGAGTAGAATTTTCCTAAAGTCCATTGGGGTCTAAAGAATACACACACACACACACACATATATACATATGATACATACAATTTCATATGCATACATATATGGATGGATTATATTTTAACGATTATGTATATATAATCAAATTGGATAATATATATTTTTGTCATTTCAATGAAGGATGATTAAAACAACAATTGTGTAAGCCTACAAATTCTTTCGCAAAAGTGAAATGAATGGAAAAGGTTATTAACATGTTCTCTATCTCTGCTTTATTTTCTTAGGTTTTCCCAATGGATTCTTTAGCAAAATCAATCAACCAATTTGCCCTTGAATTTAGCAAGAAGCTAGCTGAATCTGCTGAGGGTAAAAATATTTTCTTTTCTCCCTGGGGCATCTCAACCTCATTGGCCATGGTGTACTTGGGCGCCAAAGGGACCACTGCAGCCCAAATGGCCCAGGTGAGTGGGAAGGGTCAATCATCCTATGCTGCCTTGAAACAAAATGTTTTCTTTACTTTGCATCTTCATTTTTCTCCTGAGATCCAAATAGCCAACATTTTACAACTATATCCTCTAAAACAAAAGATACACTTTGAAAAATTTTCTAGACCATAAAAAGAAGTCTGGGAAAGGCAATCAATTTGAAAACTGTTGATAAGAAAGCCACTTAAGATTCTGTGTTCTCTAGCAAAATCAGATGGAGAGATGATGAAGTTATCAACAATTTTATTTTGATTATTAAAATATTTCAAGTAGTTATGGAGCAAGCTTTAAGTGATAGAGTTAGTCATCATCTTTCTAATCTCAGAAGGATTTTCTTGAAGACACAAACCCAAAAATCATGTGAATTCTGTTCCTCTTGCTTTGTTTGGTTGTCTGGATGAATTAAAGAGCCCATGAGGGGGCCCGGCTCCACGGCATAGTGGTTAAGTCCAGCGTGCTCCATTTCAGCAGCCCAGGTTCACCGGTTTGGATCCTAGGTATGGATCTACACCACTCATCAAGTTGTGACAGAAGATCAGCACCAGATATTCACTCCGAGCTAATCTTCCTCACCAAAAATAAACAAATTAAAAAAAAGTAAAGAGTCCATTAGGAATGTTAAAAATAGAAAAATAATAGTATTGTATAAGCAATTATTAATTTTCTGTAAGCATCCTCAAAACATAATGTGTGCACAGCCATAGATAGCAAAATATACAATAAAATAGCCGTATGTATATGTATTTATCTATATATATGCATGTATAAACATATAAATAGACACACGTGTGTTTTAAATAAAAATAAAAACAGGAAAGAGTAAGCTAGCCTTAAATTACATAACAAGTGAAAGGCCAAGTGACAGAATTTCCACCCAAGAGGGTGCCCTCTGTGCCAAGTGTGGAAATGGGCACAGCCAGCAATGCTGAGTAAGACAGGCAGAATATATATTCTGTCAATTTGGACCTAGGATATTGCCTTATTCTTGTAGTTCACAGGATATTGTGTGGTTTAAAACAAAAATATCCTGGTTCACAACTAGTTAATAACTGGTTAATTATTAAAAGGCTCACACGGGAGCAGACCTGGTGGAGCAGCACTTAAGTTTGTGTGCTCGGCTTCAGTGGCCCGGGGTTTGCAGGCTCAGATCCTGGGTGCAGACATGTGCACCACTTACCAAGCCATGCTGTGGTGGGCGTCCCACATATAAAGTGGAGGAGGATGGGCACAGATGTTAGCTCAGGGCCAGTCTTCCTTAGCAAAAAAGAGAAGGATTGGAGGAGTATGTTAGCTCAGGGCTAATCTTCCTCAAAAAACAAAAAAGCCAAAAAACGCTTAACCATTAATATGATAGATTTAATCTTAGATGGATACCAATTTGGCCTCATTTCATCTAAATATATTGCTGAGTGTTGTTTGCCCTTGTTTTATTTAACATTTATTTAAATACTAACAGCTTCAGTTTGCAATTGAGACTAATGAGTTGCCTGTGCATCTTTTTTTCTATGGTAAATGGTCCCTGTTCTAGCACCACTTTTCAGCACAAGCGTTGGTAAAATAGACTTTATTCCTTATTGTGAGCCGGGTCCGGGATGTGGGAGGTGGAATTGTTGCCTTGTTTTCCACTGTTGTACAGTTCAGGGGAAACAAGGATGTCCACATCCCTTCTGTTAACTTTCAAATGAAACTCTAGTGTAAACACAGAGAAGGTGTCTATATGTCAAGTGGTGGTAGACGATGAGAACTGAAGTATTAACCCAGAAAAGACAATTAAAACCTCTGAATTTTCCAGAGAATTGGGGCAATGGCAGCTTTTGCTTAAATTGCTAAATGATGGTCTCAATTGAACACCTAGCCTTCCTTTCAAAAAACAACCATAGACAAAAATGAAACTTGGAAAACAAGGCACTCTAAGGGTATTCCCAACATCTTCCTAATATCCTACAAAAAGTATTAAAATAAAGTCTAGCAACCTAAATTATACTTTAAAAAATTTATTTAAAGGTAGCTCTTGACTTACTCTATTAGTTCAGCTAACACACCATTTAAGTCAAATCAGATCCCCAGTTAGTTAATTAGATGTTCTATAGCTTTAAGGATGATTGACTTGTATTTACCCATGTGTATTTCATATGATTACTCGCCTGCAAAGTGCGCTTACGTACTGTCTTTTTATTAAAATCACAGGTGCTTCAGTTTAACAGAGACCAGGACATCAAAAGTTTTCATGAAAGTGAAAAGAAAATGAAAATGGTATATCTTATATTTTAATATCTATTTAATATAAGGAGAAAGCACTTTTAGCACACGTATTTTAGTAGCTAATTTAAACAACCTTTTCTTAGAAACATATGCTAAAATTATAGAAACATTTTTCAAACTACAAAATGTCTACAATTTTTGGGTCATATTCTTCCCCATTATCTTTCCCCCTCTTTGCTTCCCTTTCAAAACTGCTCCACTTTCAAACTTGTTCTTGCCTTTGCAAACTAAATATGAAGGAAATGATACCCCAACAACTTTTAAATTCTTGCATTGATAACATTAAAGAAAACGTTTTTTATCTACTATACAATCAATTTCAGTTTTTGTTCGCTGTACACCAAATCATTTCATTTAGATACCAGATGTTCATATATATGTAGTTCCTGTTCAAAATTTTCATTTGACTAATCCTTTTTTTTTTTTAAGGAATTCAACTTGGTAAAGGTTGAAGAAATCCACTCTAATTTCCAGACACTTATCTCAGAAATCAACAATTGCAGCAATGCCTACATACTTAAAACAGCCAACAGGGTCTATGCGGAGAAAACTCATCCATTTCTCATTGTAAGTGCAAATGTGTTATTTTAAGTAGATGGGGAAAAGAGAGCCATGTAACACCAGTCAATAAACTCTGTACATTTCTCTAGGGGTCCCAGGGGCAGTCTTAAGGTGGTCAGCACTTCTGGTAAAAATCATTTAGACCACCTTATAAATGTCCAATTGTAAAGGAAACCAATACTGAGTCTCAAACCAGATCTAGTGGTCAGATCTCTATGCCCAGAATAAAGCGGCACACCGTGGCAACAGCCATGAACACACACAGAAATCTGGTTTATATAATCTCTGGGCCAACGTTTGTTTCACAGGAAATGGAACAAAAGATGTGTAGTAACTAAGGAGGGTAAATCTGAAAAGCAGAGGGCAGGGTTGATCATAGGAGTGTGGCTGGAGACTGTGTACTCAAGAGAAAAGCTGACTTTGGGGTCAGTCAAGTCTTTTCACATCATGACTTTAGAGACTCTAGGAAAGACTCTTAAGATCGAATAATATCAGCTTCTCCCCTTCTCTGATGGAGGAAACCCCACAGTGCAGGCTGTGACTTTGCCCTCAGTTCAGACTCAAAGGCTTCTCAGAGTGGTCCACCCTGGAGCAGACCAAGCATTTGCTCTTCTCACGTTTGCCCACCACACCCTTTGGCACATCTCAGAATAGAGCAGGAGGACCCAGGTGTCCAGTGGGCAAAGAGCAAGGAAACTGGATACGGTAGAGGGATAGCAACAGAAAAAACATGTGATTTCAAGCAGGGCTATCCCTGCCCATATCCAGGGAACTCTGGGGACTTCAGGACCTGGGCTTTGTTAATACAAAAGGCAAAAAAGGAACCAAATGAGGTCTTAAAGTCATTTTTATTGGTAGAAGTCTCATGGTCTTGGGTTTTATTCAGAAGTAAGAGAGATGATTGAGCTGGATGAGCACTTGGAAATAAGAAAGACACAGAGACACAGAAAGATACATCTTTTAAAATGTCCACAGGCCCTGGATGTGCTCAGAGAGGTTGATCAGAACCCATGAGTCAAGATAGCGAACGGTGCCCCGTGAATCTTTAAATTTTCTTTTTACTAGATGATAAATTTGACAGAATTTAAATTTCATAATCTTCATACCACTGCCTGGAAGTTGAACTAACGCACCCCTTTTTACTGCATATAATTCCTTCATGAAGTAAGGAAACTGAAGGAGTACCACAACCATCCTGAGGAATAAATTATGTCCCCAAGGCAGGCATCCTCTTAAGCAGCAAACCCAGTTACAGCCCACTTATGATGACTGCCACGGGGGTAACATCAAAGGGCAGGAAGGAAGAGGCCCAGCTTTTTTCTCAGAATGCCTGAGGAAACCTTTGTCCATGCTTAGAAGTCAGTTTCCATGGCAGCATAGTTTTCCTCAGTGGACTCCATCGGTTCTTGGGTGTTTTAGAGTTCACAGCAGGCAGCTCCAGACCCACAAGCCTCACTTTGGGTCCATCTCTGCTGCAGGAAGAGAGCCAAGTACAACTCCCAATACTTCTTGTCCCTCAGAGTCACTCCTGGGTTCCTAGGGCACTTCCCCTTTTCACGCCAGCCCCATTTCCCGGGAATGAATAAAACAGAAAAGCAGAGGATGTGGAAGCTCCAGAACTGTGGGAGGCAGGCCTTCCTTCCACACCTGGAGTTCTGCATGGCTCCTCAAAGTCCAGAAAATTTAAAGAGGGGGGTGTTTAGTTTTTGACCATAACACAGTGAGGAAAGAGAGAAGGGAGCAATGGAGAGAGGAGGTTCAATGGTTCCTCTGCCTAGTTTTTTTGATAATCTAAACAGACTTGATTTCTCTGTTTTGGACAAACTCAACAAAAGGAGGTTTTTCTATATTTTCCAGAAATATTTAGAAGACATGAAAACATACTTTGGTGCAGAGCCACAGTCTGTTAACTTTTTGGAAGCTTCTGGACGAGTCAGAAAGGAGATCAACTCTTGGGTCGAAAGCCAGACTGAGGGTAAGCTTTTACAAAGGTGCCCACAGAGGGCTTTCTCCAAGCATTGTTTCATTGTTTTGAATTCGTGTTATGTGTAAGTTATGTATTTCTTAAGTAGAGCTGTAAATGCATTCTAAATATTCAGAACGTTTCTTTCTATTCACACCCATAATTTTTAGAATCACAGATTTCCCAATAAGCTTCATCTAAAACATGTAAGTCACAACACCCACTTTACCATGTAGATAAGAAAATTATCCTATCCACTAATTCCAAAGAGGAGTCCAGGGGTAAAAAGCAAGTAAATGAAAAAAAGAAATTTGAAAATTGCTGCATGAGTGGTTTTTAAAGAATGATAGCCACTAATTAATAACAAAAATGTGGCAGTAAATGTGCTATATAATCTTAATTTTCAAAATAAGGTCTTGTATTAGTTAGAGGATGGGCTAAGCTGCTGTAACAAAGAGACCCAAACTATAGTGGCTTAATAATAAGGATAGAAGTTTATCTTTCACTCACATAATAGTCAAAAGGTAGATAAGCATCCTATTCCATAAGGCCATCCACAAACCCAAAATTATGAGTCAGCTCTGCCATCCTCAAGACATGGCTTTCACTTCTAAGTCTAAGATGATTCTTGCAAGTGTCAGTTTTATAGTCCACAGGAAATGGGGAAGTGAAAACCTCTTTGCTTTTAAGGGGTTGCCCTGAAAGTTTCACACATCCATTTCACTCATATCTCAAACTTAGTTACATGCACACTATGCTAGGGTGACCAACTTGTCCTGGTTTGCCTGGGTCTTTCCTGGTTTTGGCACCAAAAGTTCTCTCAGTCCCAGGCAAACTGGGATGGTTGGTCACCTGGACTTGCTATAATAAAGGTCTGTAAAGTGTAGTTTTAGCTGGGTAGCCACATGCCCACCTAAAATTTGAGAGTTCTATTTCTAAAAGGAAATAGTGAAAGAATTCTCATAGGTAATTTAGCAGTCTTTTATTATGATCCTTATTTTAGCAATTAGGACTGAAGTTTTAGAGAAATAACACAAAGTTTAAAGCTTTAGAAACAAGATACAAATAGAACTCAGTTTAGTTCTAAAGTCTGAACTCATTTCAATACATCATCAGACTGACTTTTAAATTGATATTTCTATTGATTGTCCATTACATCTCACAAAGAAATACAAAAGGCGTAATTATTAATGAAGATTAATAATTAAGCCCTTGCTTTGCATCAAAGTACATGAAATGTTTCTGAATTCGCCTTTTCTTTCCAATCTCTTCCTCCTCTGCTTTCATTCTTTGTCATCACTTACCTGCATTAATACAATAATCTGCCTCTAATCTTGCTCCCCTCAAATCCAGTCTCCATTTAGGCAACCAAATGACACCTAAAATAAGAATGAGACCAGAAGGACAGATCACTCCTGTACTCAAAACCCATCCATGGTGCCCCATGACCTACAGAATGAATTCGAGCTCCCTAAACTGACACTCCCTGACTCAAAATTGATACTTCAGGAATTCTCACTGGCACAGATCCCTGGATCTCCCTGTGTTACTTCACAACCCTGTGCCTTTGCTTACGCTCTTCCCTGTATCTGAAATACCTGTCCCTGCCCTGTCACTCTCAATCTCTCCACCACCACAGGAGAATTTCTCAGGGCTTCACTCAGCTATAAGTCCCCAGGAAGCTTCTGGCTCCCAGGCTGGGCTGAGGCTTCCTTCCTCTGCTCTCATAGCACTCTGTGGGAACCATTACCTTGACACTTACCACACTGTTATTGATTAACTGCTGATGCCTCTTCCTCCCCTACTGGCCTCAAGGACCCCAAGTGCAATAACGTTGCCTTATTGGAGTTTCAGCTTTGAATCACTCATACACAACAGGCCTGCTCATAGCAGTTATTTAGAACATTAATAGTTATTAGAATGAATTCAGGAAGTTGGCAGCCCTGTATTCTCAGTTCCTTTTTCATTGAACTAGTGACTCAAAAGCCACAGTGAGGCAAGAGTGACCACTATACGTAACCTACTCCTGATTTGCATTCATGCAAAAAGTCAGTTTTTTAGAATCATAAATTAGCTAGCATTTACTGAGTACTTGCATGGATCCACTTTGCAAAAGGACCAAATGTGATTTTACAGGAAAAAGCACAGTGTAATACAGGACACAAACTCAATGTAGTAGAAGTAGAAGTAAAAATAATGCTGGAAATGAGCTAAACCTCAGGTCTCAAATTCCCAGCCCAGAGAACCTTATGTTGTCTGGAAGACAGGTGGGAACCCTATGGATAGGAAGGCCAGGAGCAACTGATCTGCTCTCTTACACCCAGCAAAGCCTTTTGGAACCGAGGAGAGCCACTGTCTGATGCTGTTTAAGCGTGGTTCTTAGGGTCCTTACCATGCTTCCCCAGTGTAGACTGACACACTGAAGGAGCAGGATAAGACCCAACTGTCTAGATTCAGAGCTTTCCAAGAGATCTTCCTGTAATGATTAAATGTGCCAAAAAGCTGCACTGTCCAATGTGGTATAGTCACATGCTCTATCCACATGTGACTACAGATGATTTGAAACATGGCTAATGCGACTGGAATAGAAATTTTATCTTTAGTTCATTTTAATTAGTTTAAATTTAAGCAGTCATATGTGTCTGGTGGCTACCCCATTTGACAGCACGGAAGTTTTGATTTCAATGCCGAACTGAGAGAATAATATTTTAAATTGAGTAGACCTCAGATTACACTTACTATACAGTCAAGATATAGAATGGCCACACTTTGAAAAATCCTCTGTTGTCATACCACTGGTTAAATGAGAAGTCCCCCAAAATAAGCTCACCCTGGGCAAGGTCAGAATCTTTTATTAAGCCTCTGCTTCCTACTTCCCCTGACTTCATTTCTCCAGCTGGCCCTGCTGACTATATTTCTCAGAAGTAGAATCTTCCAGAAAGACAAAGCCGTAATCCTTCTGTATTTTCTTTTACATACTGAACACAATTATTTGGTATTTGAGGGCTATTCAACATCAAATAAAATGAGGAATTAATCAATTATTTAGAAACTTCCACTTTGTCAAGACAGAGTTTCACACATCCTAAAGGAAAAGTTGCCAGAAACTCTTTGGCATGACTAGGTTCTATCTAAACTACCTAAAAGAAGCTTCTTTCCTTAAACTTTGAACCAAATCTTCTTCCAAGTGGCCATGTGGACTACTGGGACAACTGGCGTTCAATCAAATTCTCAATGATAATATCAGTAATAGGTTGCAATTATTTTTTTCTTGTTTGTCTCCCTTTATAGTCTATAATCTCCTTGAAAGTGGAGAATCAGCAATGATTACTGTCTACATGTTTGTAGACCTCAAATCTATCACACATTTGGCACATTGGGCACTCTAGTGTCACGTTAATATGTGCTCAACAGAACTAACCCTGATTTATCTACAAAGAGAATGTTCTTTTGATTACCTATAAGTACCAAGGATGTGAGCAATGAGTGAGCCAGTAGGTGGCACTTTCACACTCAAGAGGAGAGTAAAACATTTTCTTTGGAGTCAAACTTGCTCTGTGTGTTACTTTGAAGGTGTATTTAAGCACATGTTACACACCCTTTGTAATCTAAATTATATTTTAAATGTCCTAACGTGGCTGTGGGTTCAAGAGGCTAGGTTCCTTGAAAGCTTGTGAACCTAGAGATCAATGCAGTAAAACTTAAATCACTGGATCTCAACTTGAGACCAATCTGTGCAAACCACAATCCTCAATATGTTCTATTTGCATATATAACTTTATCAAATGGTAGAGTAATTAAATAAAATGACACAGAGCTTTAAAAAAAAAAAACTTTCGTGCAAAAACCAAAATACAGAATGCCACAGAAGACCTCCCCATGTTGAATCATCAAAGAAATTTTAAATTAAGCTCAATATATTATCTTCAATAAGATAGAAAAACAAGTACTAAAACGTTTCAGAAAGTTTTGACATCAGCATTTAAAACCAAATTTAAATTTAATTTTTAATACCAAAAAGTCAGGGCACAGGAGTGATGTCAGAAACATGGTAGAATGAGCTTTGCCAGTAATCTCTCCCCTCCAACAGACAACAAAATAAACATTCATATGCTAACAGAGGAACAACCAAACACAACACAAAAAAGCATCAGAGAAATCCATGCAGCCATATGATGGAGGGCAGACAGGCTGGAGCCCCCCTTGGGGGAGGTCGAATGGGGTAAGAAAAAACTTCACTCCCTCCCCTAAAGACTGTAATCTGGGACTGTAGGAGGCCTCTGAGAGGGAAGGAACGGGGAAGCGGAAGTTCATCTGCGGGAACAGCAAAGATCCCCTACTGCCCTAGCAGCCTATCTTATCCACGAGATTTTGAATACAAACCTCATGGTAACCACTAAAGAAAAAAGCAGAACAGAGACACAAATTATAAGGAGAAAACAAAGAAACACAACATAAAAAACTACATAGCTCAATTCGTAGACCAAAACACACAGGATGAGAAACAAAGGAAATGCAGGAGAACCAGAATATGAGTGATAAAATGGCAGCATTAAGCCCTCATATATCGATAATCACCCTAAACGTAAATGGATTGAATTCTCCAATAGAAAGACATAGTGGCGAGATGGATTAAAGAACAAGACCTCCAGGAAACACATCTTAGCTCCAATGACAAACACAGCCTCAGAGTGAAGGGATGGAAGACGATACTCCAAGCTAATGGCAAACAAAAGGAAGCAGGTGTCACAACACTTATATCAGACAACGTAGACTTCAAGATAAGATAGCTAAAGAGAGACAAAGAGGGACAATATATAATGATCAAAAGGGCACTTCATCAAGAAGAATAACACTTATAAATATCTATGCACCCAACACAGGAGCACCAAAGTACATAAAGCAACTATTAACAAACTTAAAAGGAGATATTAATAATAAGACAATATAGTAGGGGACTTCAACACTACACTCACATCAATGGATAGATCATCCAGACAAAATCAACAAGGAAATAGTGGAATTAAATGAAAAACTAGACCAGTTGGACTTAATAGACATACACAGAAAACTCCATCCAAAAACAGCAGAATACACATTCTTCTCAAGTGCACATGGAACATTCTCAAGGATAGACCATATGTTGGGAAACAAGGCAAGCCTCAATAAACTTGAGAAGATTGAAATAACAACAGTCAGCTTTTCTGATCACAATGTTATAAAGCCGAAATTAATTACAAGGAAAAAGCTGAGAAAGGGACAAAGATGTGGAGACTAAACAACATGTTATTGAAGAAGAAATGGATCACTGAAGAAATTAAAGGATAAATAAAAAATATCTGGAGACAAATGAAAATGATAACATACCATACCAACTCATATGGGATGCAGCAAAAATCGTATTAAGAGGGAAATTCATCACAATACAGGCTCCACCTTAACAAACAAGAAAATCCCAAATAAGCAATCTCAAAGTACACATAATTGAATTAGAAAAAGAAGAACAAACAAAACCCAAATTCAGCAGAAGGAGAGAAATAATAAAAATCAGAGCAGAAATAAATGCTATTGAAACAAAAAGGGCAATAGAAAGGATCAATGAAACAAAGAGCTGGTTCTTTGAGAAGATAAACAAAATTGACAAACCCCTAGCTAGACTTACACAGAAAAAAAGAGAGAAAGCTCAGCTAAATAAAATTAGAAATGAAAGAGGAGAAATAACAATGGATACCACAGAAATACAATGGATTATGAGAGAATACTACGAAAAACTATACGCCAGTAAAATGGACAATCTAGGGGAAATGGATAAATTCTTAGCACTTACAACCTCCCAAAGCTGAATCAAGAAGAAATGGAGAATCCGAAAAGATCAATCATAAGTAAAGAGATTGAAACAGTAATCAAAAGCATCCCAAAGAATAAAAGCCCAGGACCAGATGACTTCCCTGGGGAATTCTACCAAACTTTCAGAGAGGATTTAATACCTATCCTTCTCAAGCTGTTCCAAAAAATTAGGGAATATGGAATGCTTCCTAACACATTGTATGTGGCGAATATCACTCTGATACCAAAGCCTGACAAGGACAACACAAAAAAGGAAAACTACAGGCCAGTATCTCTGATGAATACGGATGCAAAAACCCTCAACAAAATATTGGCAACCTGAATACAGCAATACATCAAAATGGTCAAATGTCATGACCAAGTGGGATTTATACCAGGGAGACAGGGATGGTTCAACAAATTGAATTGAAGGAATGGTTCTGTAAATCTATCAACATGATATACCACATTAACAAAATGAGGAATAAAATCCACATGATCTTCTCAATTGATGCAGAGAACGTGTTTGACAAGATCCAACAGCCATTTATGAAAAAAACTCTTAACAAAATGGGGATAGAAGGAAATTACCTCAACATAATAAAGGCCATATATGACAAACCCACAGTTTTCATCATACTCAATGGGGAAAAACCGAAAGCCATCCCTCTGAGAACAGGGATAACACAGGGATGCCCTCTACCACCTCTCTTATTCATAGTACTGGAGGTTTTGGTCAGAGCAATTAGGCAAGAGAAAGGAATAAAAGGAATCCAAACAGGGAGTGAAGAAGTGAAACTCTTGCTGTTTGCAGACTACAGGATCTTATATATAGAAAACTCTAAATAATCCACTGGAAAACTATTAGAAATAATTAACAACTACAGTAAAGTGTCAGGGTAAAAAATCAACTTACAAAAATCAGCTGCATTTCTGTACTCTAATAACGAACTTACAGAAAGAGAACTCAGGAATACAATTCCATTTACAATCGCAACAAAAAGAATAAAAAGTACCTAGGAATAAATTTAACTAAGGAGGTAAAGGACTCATACAACGAAAACTATAAGACATTATTGAAAGAGATAATGACATAAAGAGATGGAAAGAGATTCCACACACGTGGCATGGAAGAATAAACATAGTTAAAATGTCCATCCTACTCAAAGCAATCTACAGACTCAATGCAATCCCAATCAGAATCCCAATGACATTCGTCACGGAAATAGAAAAAAGAATCCTAAAATTCACATGGGGCAACCAAAGACCCTGAATTTCTAAAGCAGTACTGAGAAAAAGGAACAAAGCTGGAGGCATCACAATCCCTGACTTCAAAAGGTACTACAAAGCCACAGTGATCAAAACAGCATGGTACTGGTACAAAAACAGACACACAGGTCAATGGACCAAACCTGAAAGCCCATAAATAAAATCATATAGCTACGGGCAGCCAGTCTTCAACAAAGGTGCCAAGAACATACAATGGAGAAAAGATAGTCTCTTCAATAAACAGTGTTGGGAACACTGGACAGCCACATGCAAAAGAATGATAGTAGACCGTTATCTCCTGCCATACACAAAAATGAACTCAAAACAGATCAAAAACTTGAAGACAAGTCCTGAAACCATAAAACTTCTGTAAGATAATCCAGGTATTACACTCTTTGACATCAAACTTAAAAGGATGTTTTCGAGTACAATGTCTTCTCAGACAAGGAAAACAAAAGAAAAATAAACAAGTGGGAATTCATTAGACTAAAAAGCTTCTACAAGGCAAAAGAAACTAAGATCAAAACAAAAAGACAACTCATCAATTGGGAGAAAATATTTGCAAATAATATATCTGATAAGGGGTTAATCTCCATAATACATAAGGAATTCACACAACCGAACAACAAAGAAACAAACAGCCTGATCAAAAAATGGGCAGAGGATATGAACAGACATTTTTCCAAAGAAGATATATAGATGGCCAATAAACACATGAAAAGATGTTCAGCATCACTAAACATCAAGGAAATGAAAATCAAAACTACACTGAGATACCACCTTAAGCTTGTTAAAATGGCTATAATCACTAAGACTAAAAAGAGGAGAGGTTGTGGAGAGGGTGTGGAGAAAAGGGAACCCTCATACACTGCTGGTGGGAATGCAAACTGGTGCAGCCACTATGGAAAACAGTATGGAGATTCCTCAAAAAACTAAAAATAGAACTATCATATGACCCAGTTATCCCACTACTGGGTATCTACCCAAACAACTTGAAATCAACAATCCAAAGTAACATATGCACCCCTATGTTCATTGCAGCACTCTTCACAAAGCCAAGACATGGAAACAATCCAAGTGCTCATTGACTGATGATTGGATAAAGAAGATGTGGTATACAGATACAATGGAATACCAGTCAGCCAGAAAAAAAGACAAAATCATCCCATTTGCAACAACATGGATGGACCTGGAGGGAATTGTGCTAAGCGCAATAAGCCAGACTGAGGGAGACAAACACCAGATGATTTCACTCATGTGGAATTTCATAAACAAACACATGCACAAAGAAAACAGCTCGGTGGTTACCAGGGGAAGGTGGGTGGGCATAAGGAATGAAGCAGAGCACTTACGTGGTGACAGACAAGAAATAATTTACAACTGAAATCTCACAATGATGTAAAGTATTATGAACTCAAATTAAAAAAAGAATTTAAAAACCCAAAAAGTCTCTTTCTTTTTGGGTATTTGTTTTGTTTTGAATAGACATGTCCAAGCCACACCTCAGATCTACTGGAATCTAGAAGTGCTGCCCCCAGAATTTTGAAATAAAGCTCCACAAACGCTTGTGATGTGCCCCTGGGAAGACTGCAGCAGGCAGCCGAGAGGTTGCTGGGGCCCTCGTGCAGGCTCACAGGAGCCCATTTCCTGAACGTGCACATCTCTTCCCAACCTCTCTTTCAGTGATTTCACGCTGGTAGCTGGAAATCACTGTGGGGGGAATATTTACACCAGGGAAATGGGCTACACATCAGCAGCCTCCCTCTCCACATTCCTACCCCGACCCAGAGCCAGTTCACCAGCAACCACTAGAAACGGAAAACCAGAGCTCTGGATTTCATTTAATTTTTGTTTTATTATACTTCTTTTACCTACTATTGTTTTCCATACTTAAACTTTTTTTTTAAATAAAAAGGGAAATCAAAAAGTTAAATGTATCTAATTTTAGTTGTTCTTAACTATTTTAAAAAGTTGTATTACATAAATAAAAATAGCTACTAATTAACAAAAATGTGGTATTAAATGTTCTATATAACCTTAATTTTAAAAATAGGGTCATGTATTAGTTAGAGTATGGGCTAAGCTGCCATAACAAAGAGACCCAAACTACAGTGGCTTAATAAGATAGACGTTTTTGACTTCACCTTAACTTGATTATATCTGCAAAGACCATATTTCCAAATGAGATCACATTCACAGAGACCAGAGTTTGGGACTTCACATGTCTTTTTGGGGGACACAATTCAACCCACAACAGTAGTATTCTCACAAAAGTGCATAACTAAATATTATCTTGAGGAAACATGAGACAAATCTGAACTGAGAATTGAGGGACATTCTATAAAACCTTTTCCAATGTGTCAAGGTTGTGAAAGACAAAAAAAGAATGAGGAAATGTCCTCATTAAAGGTAACTATGAGGAAATAACAACTAAATGCAACTTGAGATCTTGGATTGATTTCTCGTCTGGAAAAAGAACTTTGTTAGAACAATAGATGAAATTTGAATAAGATCTGTTATTAGTATTCTATCAATGCTAACTTCCTGGTTGGGATCAGTGGTGGATATAAGATGTTATCATTTAACAATATTTCATAATCATCACTTTTATAAGTTTGGCGTATCACCAGGATGTAACTATATTATTTGAAACATGTCCTTTTGCTCTTGTAGGAAAAATCCTGAATCTCCTACCTGATGACTCTGTGGATCCTACAACCAAAATGGTTCTAGTGAACGCCCTTTACTTTAAAGGAATCTGGGAACAGCAATTCTTAGTCCAAGACACCACAGAAAAGCCTTTCAGAATAAACAAGGTGGGAACTTTTTAATAATCACTATGGAGTTTTGCATGGAATCGTAAAGGGGATTCTATTTTAATTCACTCTTCTTTCTGAATATATGTTCCTGTAAACCATGGCTCTTACTAAGGCTGAGCTAAAAGGCCCCTGTGCCATCCTACCTGGAAATTCCTCTTTCATTGTTTTTCTCTAAAAATAAGACTATTCATATATATTGGCACTCAGTCCTTGCTACAACTATGGTAGAGTAGGTAAGGTAATTGTTATATTTATTTCCCAGGTGAGAAATACAGCATGGCTAAGTGCCTGGAGCCATGCCTAAGTTAGAAGTCTACCAGAACCACACTCCAAAACTCTTCACTGTTAGTTCTGTTTTCATTCTACTAAACCAATGCTATCTTCTACCAATTTCTTAACCTTCTATAAGTAAAAAAAAAAAAATAAAAATTTAAAATCTCACCGCTTCCATTAAGGTTTCTTTCTGTGTTAGGACACAACAAGCTTGTTTTTGTAACGGGAACCCACTACAGCAAAAAGGGAGATTAATATAAAGTGACAGGTATATCTCATAGAATCCAAGGGCTGGAATGTGGCTGGAATCCAAGGTCTTGAGACTTGAGTGGAAACAAGGATTTAAATATTGTCAAGATTCATTCCGTATCGTTTCAACTTTGTTTCTCCCATCGTTCTTCTCCCAGGCTGAAGTCTAACTTTCTCTGCTTCCCAGTCCACAATGGCAGAACGTGGCTGCCCACAACACCTGCTCCATTCTAGAGACCAGTCTGATAGATCTCATTCCAAGTTCTTAGGAAAGGAACTGATTAGCCAAAATTTGTTAAAGTTGTTTAGTCCTGGGGTGGGTCATCTCACACAAACAGTGCTGCTGAGGACCTATTGCTGTAATCACGTGGATGTGTGCAATAGGCAGTGCTCAGATAATCAGCGGAATCCAGGGAAGGGACTGAAGATGTAATCCAATAGGTTAACTAGAAATGAGTTAGATAGTTACCTGGCTTAATATATTCACCAGGAATTTTCAGCTGAAAAGCATTCCAAACTAGTTCTGGTAAAACAGGAATTGTATTATCATTAGCTTATGTAACTAAGAGGAACTAAGAAGCCCAGGAATGGGATCTCTAGAGTCTCAAAACACCATCTCAGTTCTCTCTCTCTCTTTCCCCTCTGGTTGTTGCCCTCCTCTAATACTGAAGATGAAATTGATCCATATGACCAGGGAACATGGCTGCCCCATATTCAGTCTTCTAGCTTCACAACTCTACTAGATAGGGAAAGTCTTTGCTACTAACCTTAATAGAATGCTCCCAAGTTTAACTCTGGTCGATGCCATTCGTGTGCTTATCCCTGAAACAATCACTGTCTTGTGGAGTATCCCGCATGAACAGACATAGTCATATGGCCACTACGTTAGCAGAAGGGTAGGACTTTGTGATTGACACTTAGCTGCACATAGAATGGATAAATAACATATATCTACAACATCTGAATTGTAGGGTTCTGTTTTTGTTTTACCATTGGCTTTACTAAAAATGGACAATTTTGTAGACCGTTTTTAGATTTACAGCAAAATTGAGAGGAACATACAGAGTCCCCATATACCAGCCCCCCGCCACAAACATACACACACACACAGTTTCCCCTATTATTAACACCTTGCATCAGTGTGGTCCATTTGTTGCAATTAATAAGCCAATATTGATACATTATTATTAACTAAAGTCCATAGTTTGCATTAGGGTTCACTCTTTGTGTTGACGGTTCTATGGGTTTTGACAAATACATGGTGTCATGTATCTACCATTACAGTATTATATAGAACAGTGTCACTGTCCTAAAAACGCCCTGTACTCCACCTATTCATCCCTCTCCCTAAACCCCTGGCAACCACTGATCTTTTTACTGTGTGTATAGTTTTGCCTTTTTCAGAATGTCATACTATTGGAACCATATTGTATGTAGCATTTTTGGACTGGCTTCTCCCACTTAGCAGTATGTATTTAAGGTTTCTTCATGTTTTTTTGTGACTTGATAGATATTTCACTTTATTGGTGAGTAATATTCCATTGTATGGATGTAGCAGATTTTTTATCTGTTCACCTTATTGAAGGACATTTTGGTTGCTTCCAGTTTTTGTCAATTATGAGTAAAGCTGCCATAAACATTTGTGTCCAAGATTTTGTGTGGACACAAGTTTTTAACTCATTTTGGTAAATACCCAGGAGCACAGTTGCCAGATCACATGAAAAAACTGTGTTTAGCTTTGGAAGAAACCACTAAACTGTCTTCCAAAGTGGCTTCCATTTTGCATTCCCATTGGCAGGGAATGAGTTCCTTCTGCTTTATATCCTCACCAGTTGATGATGTTGTCAGTGTTGTAGACTTTTAGCCACTCTTTTAGGTGTGTAGTGGTATCCTCATTGTTTTAATTTTCAATTCCCTAAGGACATATGATCGAACATCTTTTCATATGTTGTGTGTCTTCCTTGGGTGAAGTATCAGTTCATATCTTTTGCCTATTTTTAAAATTGGGTTGTTTGTTTTATTATTGTTCAGCTTTAAGAGTTCTTTGTAAATTTTAGATACCAGTCGTTTATCAAATACGTGTTTTTAAAGTATTATCTCTTAGTCTATTGCTTCTCTTTTCATTCTCTAAGTGAATTTCAGTTTTACGATACTAAAATACTTCTCGATTGTTTGCACATGAAACGCACCTTACTCAATTTCTGAATCACTGGTATTTATCTAGTGGGCATAAGATTAGATACTCTTTTAAGTGTTTGGTAGAATGTAGCTTGCTATCTTTTATGAAGATTGCCACAATAGCATTAAGAAAGAAATTCTCAAAGCACCTATTGATGATGTTATTCTGTATAATACATATTTCCAGAAACAAGGTCTGAATAACCTTATTCAGCATTTAGCAGAGGATCACCAATTTTGCCAGTGTCCCAGACTACTGGGAACCAATGATGATGAAGAATTAAGCATTTGATGGAACTCCTCCTCAGTAACTTTGCTACTTACTTTTTACAGACTACAAGCAAACCAGTGCAAATGATGTCAATGAAACAAAAACTTCAAGTTTTTCACGTAGAAAACCCACAAGTCATAGGCCTTCAACTCTATTATGAGAACCGCGACCTCAGCCTGCTCATACTACTGCCAGAAGATGTTGGCGGGCTGGCTCAGGTAAACACGTTATCTGTCTGACATGAAGATGCTTCTCCTCCTGAGGAAAAAATAAGGAAATGTTCTCCTTGTTCTTTAATTCCTGTGGAGGAAGGCAACCAACCTACCTTGAGCCCTGGATACTTGACCTTCACAATATTGTTTAAGCTTCACAAAACTCTGTAAAGTTGATATTACTACTCCTCAGAAATGTTAAGCAATCTATAGACACCTCTAGCATGGGGTAGCCACACAAACAGCCATGCAAACAACAGATACAGATATTTTTGTCAGTCCCATGGCTGTCTGGATTAATCAGAACAATCTTTCCGTCAGCCTAAGTTTTTCTTCTCCCTCAGGTAGAACCTACCTACTTGGACATGAAATTCTTAGTCACTTGCATTAATCTAGCTTTAGATATATATTTTAAAATATTAAACTGACTTCTAAAACTTTTTAAAAGCATTTTTATCAAGTAAACAGTCTTAAGGAGAAATAGTCTGTCTCAGTACCATCTTCAAATATTATTCCAGTTGTTAATCAGCCTAGTTTGTATTAAGCCTGACATAACTTTGGTCAGACCATGTTTCTGAGCAATTGGTGTGTGTAAATTGAACACCAGTTTCTTGTGCAATAGGTGGTTTGTCTTCTTTGCACAGTGCTTATTTTTCACGTGTGCCAGATTCTTTATACTTATAAGTTCCCATGGCCCTACGAGAGTGTAGAAAAGATTTCCAAATTATGTTAAAAATTTGTGAAACTGGAGAGTATGGTAAAAACAAGACCAAGTGTGGACAGTAAACCATTAGAGTCACATTCTTCCTAAAAGTGTAGGTTCCTGAGCTAAAGAATTGCCACATTATTTTTTTTAAGATGTTTTTTATTTTTTCCTTTTCTCCCCAAAGCCCCCAGGTACATAGTTGTATATTCTTCGTTGTGGCTCCTTCTAGTTGTGGCATGTGGGACGCTGCCTCAGCGTAGTTTGATGAGCAGTGCCATGTCCGCGCCCAGGATTCGAACCAACGAAACACTGGGCCGCCTGCAGCGGAGCGTGGGAACTTAACCACTCAGCCATGGGGCTAGCCCCAGAATTGCCACATTATTAATGTACATCATTTACATTTATGTCATTGACATTAGTACTTCAGTCCAAAATCTATCAAAGTAGCCAAAGCATGTGCTTTGAATCAAACATGTTATGTAAAAAAAACAAACTCACTTTTTTTTCCTCATACACACTATGTATATGTATATATACATAAATATATATTTATTGTTTTTAAAATTTAAAATATAAAGAGGAGAAAAAGCACCCTCAAAACCACTTTAAAAAAAAATCATTACTCTTAAGATTTAGGGATTTTTCTTTCTTTTCTTTTCTTTTTTTTATAGTTTGTAGTTACTAATGTTATATTTTGATTATAGAATATAGACATACTATTTTATCTCAGAATTCTTTTTCAAAGAACTGTCTCCCATGTTATTGAAACTAATTTTTTTTGTTGTTTTTTTAAATATTTGAATTTTCCTTTTTCTCTCCAAAGCCCCCTGGTACATAGTTGTGTATTTTAGTTGTGGGTCCTTCTAGTTGTGGCATGTGGGATGCTGCCTCAGTGTGGCTTGATGAGCGGTGCCATGTCCATGCCCAGGATCCGAAGCAGTGAAACCCTGGGCTGCTGCAGCAGAGCATGTGAACTTAACCACTTGGGCACGAGGCCAGCCCCAAAACTAATGTTTTTTGTGCCCTGGTATACAACTTGTGGTAGAGTATACGCTTTTGTGTAGACAAGATCTCAATGCTTATTTGTATTGATGTATTCGTGAGTGTAGTCGATGTCTTGCATGTCATTATAGAAGTACTTTGATTTTGAATCATTGTCTAATTCTCCTGTATCCTGAGAACTATTAATCTGTAAAACAAAGATTCTGTCAGTCAACAGTGTGAAGGATCTCATTATAAACAGAGAATTTCCAAATGTGTGTTTCAATACCCTTGGTAATGGGAATAATCAAAATTCATCAGTGTAATCTCTAGAGGTCTCCCTCAACCAATATTTCTCACTCCACGTTGAAATTAATGACTCTTTCTTCCTTGGTTCCAAACCTGCAGCTGGAAAAGGCCATCACCTATGAGAAGCTGAGTGAGTGGACCAGTGCAGACATGATGGAGTTGTATGACGTGCAGCTGCATCTTCCCAAGTTCAAACTGGAAGAGTCTTATGATCTCAAGTCAACCCTGAGCAACATGGGGATGAGTGATGCTTTTAACCCGAGCAAAGCTGATTTCTCAGGAATGTCTATGGACAGAAACCTATTTCTGTCCCAGGTTTTCCACAAGTCTTTTGTGGAAATAAATGAACAGGGTACAGAGGCTGCAGCTGGCACTGCGAGTGAGATGGTTTTGCGAATTAGACTCCCCTCCATTGAATTCAATGCAGACCACCCATTCCTTTTCTTCATCAGACACAACAAAACCAATAGCATTCTCTTTTATGGGAGATTCTGCTCCCCATAAACCCTACATCTCTCTCCTCAAACAAGAGCATCCTACAGTGTGAAAAATACACCATAACGTGGAAAAATACAGTTATAATAAAAATCAATTTGTAGCCTGGATATTTTTCACATATGAATATTAGCAAAAATATTTTGAAATAATGCATTCTAGTGATCCTATCATATCTGTATAGCTGGTGAGAATGGCAAATTTTATTCTTACCACTTAACATTTTATCTTAATGTGACTTTTATCTATATTTCAGAAATTCTTTATTCAATTGAATGCCTTACAATTCTTCAACTATCTTGTCACTGCATTTTCATTGTCACTTATATTTCACATGCATCATTTAATGAAGAAAAATCTTTATAAAGGCAATATATTGATAAACAAGAATTTTCTCAAGAATATTATTTTGATGGCTCAAAAATTGCCACTGTAAAATTAAACTCCCCTTTTCTGCTGACTATTCAAAAATACTTATGTTGACCTTAATGGAAAAACTAGTGAAATCCAAATGAAATCTGTAGCTTAGTTAATAGCAATGAACGAATGTTGGCATCATGGTTTTAAAAAATGTACCATAGGAATGTTAGATGTCAGTATTAGGGGAAACTGTGTTAAGAGTATGTGAGAATTCCCTGTATTAGCTTTGCTGCTTTTCTGTGAATCTAAAATTATTCCAAAATAAAAACTTTGTTAAAAATAATTATCATGTGTAAAAGTTGTCATACTAACATCCTTGATTTTAAAAATCTTATAAACTAGAAGAGTAAATCTGATTTATATAAATATGTATTGTTAGTTATAAGAAGATATTCTTAGAAATACTGTATTTCCATAAAATTAGCTGTGTCTTTTTAATTTCTTTTACAAATGCTAATAGACAACTACTTATCGGTAGCCTCATCAGCTGTTATTCTAATTTCAGAGATTAACTGTATCATTCAAAGATGCCTTTTCTATATTCATCAATAAAGTGAAAGACCTGATCTGACGTGAATGATGTACAAATTAGTACAAGAAAATGTGTTTCCTGTATCAACTCTTGGTTTGGTATTATAGAATAAAACAATGATTCTATCCTTTAGCTCCAAAGATAGGCAGTTGTAATACATATGACATTTTATCACATCTTTATGAAACATTTTGCCCCTACCCATAACATCTCAAATTAAGTAGCAATGAAAGAAATCCCTTGTGTCTGTGTTCTGGTGAATTAAAAGTCCTTAAATGTTATGGATCATTGTGGACTCAAAAGAAAAGTGGCAACAAGTGAACCAGAAATATGGAAACCACCCCAGAATAAAAGAATGCCAGTGTAACACTCTCAGAGGCTGACAATCAAAAAATAGTAAACATCACATGCTTCAAACAAATAATAAGAAAGGAAAAAAGGTGATACTAGAAACTTTGATTAGTAAGATTCATTCAGGCAGTCAGTCATTAAAAAGTGTTTACTGGGCACCTACACGGACTTAGTTGATATTCAGGCCATGGAGACTATACTTCCAAACAAACCCAGAGCCTGATCTCCTGGTCTCCTAGAATCATGGAGCTTACAAACCAGTGGGACAAATGGACTCAAAAGTGGAAGTTAGTACAAAGAATGATTACAAAATAAATAGCAGTCATCTGGGAGACAGGTGTCTGTGTGTATGTGTCTATCAGGCTTTTCGATACAGAGGCTTTAAATAGGGAACTTTGGTGATGTTACATGTGTGCAAGTGTACGTAACCTGTCTTTTTAGAAGGATCACAGACATTAGGACAATAGACAATAATCCTGGTCTATTAACCTCCTTTGTTTCCAGGGAAAATAAAGCTATTTTAGGGTAGTGTAGGAAAGAGGTCTCAGTTCCTGTAGGGGATTTTTGTTTGGGACTCTCCTTACAGATACTATGATTCCATTTATGTAAAATATAGAAGTTCCCAGTGATGGGGTTCAGGGCAGGCCACCCCCAAATATGCCACTTTGGTATATTGATTATTTTGAATTGAAGTTATTTAAGAAACAGCTGATGCAAGAAGGATACTCTGACCCTCCCCTGTTCCCCTTGAAAGTAGGAAATAAATCTCTCATGTGAAAGGTACCCTCCCTACTCCAGGTGGTAGAGAGAGATTCTTATCATCAGAGAGAGAGAATTCAGGGCTGAGAAGGCTGTATAAACAACCTTTCTTGATTTCTTCACTAATTAGCACCCAAGCCTGAGTTTCTTTGCCTTGTCAGTTCTTCACAAATTTATTGTTTCTTTGTCTAAGTGGTATAAAAGCTTCCTGCTTTGGTCACTTCTTTGGGTCTCATATTCTTATGGGGTCCTGTACATACATAATTAAATTTGTTTTTCCCCTGTTAATCTGTCTTACGTTAATTTGATTATCAGACCAGCCAAAGAACCTAGGAGGGTAGAAGGGAAACTTTTTCTCCCCAACACCACATATACATATTTTAATGTACCTAAAGGTGTCTGGTGAAGAAAGAAGAGTATTACACTCCTTACTTTCTATAATTCTGCATTGATTGATTTTATTACTAGCAGTAGAAATATGTATTGCTTTTACAACATTACTATAATAAAGTGTACTCTGGCCTGAGCGTGAAGCAGAAGGGGAGAGATGCATTTGCAGTATTAAAAACAGAATGGAATAAATAAATAAATACATAGAATGGAATAAACCTTTAATCCTGCTCTGCCATCTCCCCCATGGCGTTGCCTTGGTGGCCCTCTTGGTGTGACGGAGCCTGCTCCATCCACCTCCAGGGTGAGGGAGGCAGGGTTGGCTTCTCCAGCTGTCTCTGGCCCACTCCCAGGACACCAAGCAATGCCAGCTTCCATCCATCCTTCCACCTTCATTTCCCGATAGACTGGCTATTTCAGGACCATGATCTCAGCTTCCTTGCCATCCATGTCTCCACCATCATCCATCCACACATCTACAATCTTCAGTGTCTTCCTAGATAACAACCCTAGCCCCTAACCCATCTGATCACACATCTACTCAATTTTTAGGACATTACAGCTGCTCAACTATGACTACTCATTCCATTGCCTCCCATGGACCTTGTCATCTCCCCAAACTGCTCAACTCCTTCTTTAAAATTTTCTCCCCACCTTTTTGCTGTTACTGTTGTTGTTGTTAATAACCATCTTCCCTGATTCTTTTTATGCATCTCTGGTCACTCCAGGTTCCTTTTCTCTGGCTCTTTTTTTTTTTCTCTGTTCATCCTTTATATATTGGCATCCTTAGAGCTCCTTTATCCTTCTCATACTCCCAGGAAAATCTCACCACACCCATGACTTCAGCTATATCCATTTGCTGAGGACTCCCAAGTTAGTATTTACTGCCTAGACCTCTCTCCTGGGCCTTCCATGTAACCTCAACCTTACGTGGCAACATGAAATTCATTTTCTCCTCCAAATTCATTCAGTTCCCTCTTTTTATAATCTTTCTTATTGTCACCACCATTCACTGGTTTGTCCAGTCAGTAATCTGGGTATCATGCTAGACTCCTCCTTCCTTAGGCACTCACCCAACGATCCCAAACACGGCCTAGCCTCCTTCTAAACTGCTCTTCCAGGCATGCCCTCCTATCCGCATTGTCACTGCCCTGGTTCACCTCTTGGTGTCTTTTATCTGAGGTACTGCAGCACTGGTCTCCAACCTTCTGTCTCATTCACATCCCATTTGTCCACATTGCTGCAGAGCAATCTTTCCAATACATAATTCTAATCATGTGAACACCAGCTCAGAATTCTTCAAAGGCACTCTAATACCTATAAGATAAAATAAAAATGTTTGGATTTGCAATCAGAATATGCAACCATGCACTGGGGCTTTGGGGAGAAAACAAACAAAAGTGGAAGATTGGCAGAGATGTTAGCTCAGGGTGAATCTTCCTCAGCAAAAAAGAAAAAAAAACCTAACCCATATGACCCAGCAATAGTGCTCCTTGGTATTGACCCAAAGGAGTTGAAAACTTATGTCCACATCAAAACATGCACATGGATGTTTACTGCAGTTTTATTCATAATTGCCAAATCTTGAAGCAATCAAGATGTCCTTCAGTAGGTGAATGGATAAACTGTGGTACTTCCAGACAGTAGAATATCATTCAATGCTGAAAAGAAATGAGCTACCAAGCCATGAAAAGACCCGGAGGAAACGTAAATGCATATTATTAAGAGAAAGAAGACAATCTGAAAAAGGTACATATTGTATGATTCTAACTATCTGACATTCTGCCAAAGGCAAAAGTATAGAGACAATAAAAAGATCAGCAGATGCCAGGGGTGGTGGGAGTGGACAGGAATGAATAGACGACAGAACACAGAGGATTTTTAGGGCAATGAAAATGCTCTGTGTGATACTATAGTGATGGATACATGTCATTATACATTTGTCCAAAATCACAGAATGTACAACACCAAGAGTGAACCCTAATGGTTACTAAGGACTTTGGGTGATAAGGATGTGTGGGTGTAGGTTCATTATTTATAACAACTATACCACTCTGGTGGGGGATGTTGGTAATGGGGGAGGCTGTGCCTGTCTGGGGCAGAAGGCATATGTGAAATCTCTGCACTTTCCTCTCAATTTTGCTATGAACCTAAAAATGCTCTTAAAAAATAAAGTCTAAAGAAAAAATCTTTGTAATTAAAACTACGTGACCAATGGAACCGAAAACAAAATCCAGAAACATAGCCAAGTATATATAGCTCTTTGGTATGTAATAAAGTTAGCAGCTCAAATCATTAGTGAAAAGATGGAGTTTTTAAATACATTTAAACTGGAATAAACACAGTTTAGAACTAGTGGAAAGCCATTTTAAAAAGCGTTAATATTGGACCCATATTTCTCATAGAGTAGGATAAACTCCAAATGGATCAGCAATCTAAATTTTCACAACTGAAGCCATATACATACTGGAAGCAAACACTGGTGACCTCTATGCACTGCGGAAAGCCTTTCCAACTACGACTCAAACTTTAAAAGCAACAAATGAAAATATCCTTAATTTGACTATATAAAAAATGTGTGTGCCAAAATCGCCAGAAGCAAAAATAAAGTCAAAAACAAATGACAAATCAGGAGAAAATATCTGCAACTTAAACCACAGACGAAGGCGGGCCGAACCCGCCTGCGCCCCCCGCGGCCCCCAACCCAGCATATATTTGAGGCTCCGGGCTGCTCCGGGCTCCGTTCTTACCACCGCTCGGAACCCCTGGCAGCGGCGCCGGGAATTTGGGGTCTATGTCTGGCTTTGGTGGCTGCGCCCACACGCTGGGATCCGGTTACCTGCTGTATCGCTTGGAAAAGCGCGAGAGCCTGAGAAAACAACCCCAGGCGCAGCGCGCAGTGCGCCCTCTACGGGCTCCGCGTGTGTCCCCGGGTTCCCTCTCCTTCACTCTCTCGCGGGGCGGGGGCTCTGGATCCCCCAGCTCTCCACGGGCATGGGCGTGGCCGCTCCTGGCCGCGCCCCTGCGGCTCCGGGTGGGGACCGCGGGCGCCAGGCGGAGGATGAGCATCAGGGCGGGGATCCCCTAGGGAACCGGGCAGCGGGCGCGGGCTGCCGACCCCAGTGGGATGTGCGTGGTCGCTGCGGACCAACTGGATCCGCAGCGCGCAGGCCTCGCACCCGAGAGGCGGCGGCGGGATAGGGGCATCGCCGAGCCAACCGAACTGCAGCGCTGGGACCCCCGGCCACAGTTGACCTCGCAGGGAGCCGGGCGTTGGGAATTCCGAGGGGATGGAGGCCCAAGACAGAGCAAGGGTCCGTCCGGAAGGAGGCAGGACCCTGTTGCCCCCGCCCCTTTTCCAAGAACTTGCACCTTGGTGAGTTTCACAGCCAGCTCTGGCCTCCGAGTTTGGTCAATTCCACAATGTCAAGGTCATTTAGGCCTAGGGAGATAACCATAAGGGCGTTCTGGATTTTGTGGCTTCCTTGTTTTTATTAAGCTCACTGCTGGGAAGATATTACAAGGTACTTTGTCCTCAGGCTACGAGGAGGTGGGGGAAATTTTAATCATGTTTATGGTTTGTTGTGCTAGATACTGGCACTCAAGTTAGTTTCTTCCTTCCCCTCCTCTTAAAACTTAATTTTGGAAAACAAAGTATGGACAATTAGGGGCCGACCAGTGGCGTAGTGGTTAGGTTGGCACGCTGTGCTTTGGCTCCTGGTGTTAGTGGGTTCCGATTCCGGGTGGGAACCTGCGCACCGCTTATCAAGCCATGCTGTGGCAGCATCCTACATACAAAGTGGAGGAAGATTGGCACGGATGCTAGCTTGGGGACAATCTTCCTCAAGCAAAAAGAAGATGATTGGCAATAGATGTTCGCTCGGGGCCAATTTTCCTCACCACACAAAAAGAAGTATAGATAATTGCTATTTATCTGCTGTCAGGCATACTCAGATGTGAAGGGGAAGCTGCGTCATCTGTGGGTACTTTTACTTCTGGGTCTTGCTTGTGCCTGACACAGAAACATGACTCACAGCTGCCTTCTCCCCAGTGTGGTTTGTAGGATTGATGTGATGTCATCTGATAGGTAGTATCTGTCACCTACTTAGGACCTGAAGCACCATTCTATGCTGGGCCTAAGTAATGTGCCCTGTGGTTAACATGAATTATTACTGTCATCAGTAGATACAGGGTGTCCTAGACTTAAGCACAGATGTAGAAATAAGTTTTGAAATCACTGTACTATTTTGTACATTTTTTAACGTATTTGAAAGTCTTAGGAAAGCCTAGTTTACTGGATTTACAAACCTTGATTTTTAGATTTATGAGAGTTAAAATGTTTACAAAAGTGTGTTTGTGAACTTTGTAAGTTTGCTTTTAAAGGTTTTTAAAGCTTTAAAGAAATCTGACAGGGGCCAGCCCAGTGACATAATGGTTAAGTTCGTGCACTCGGCTTCAGTGGCTGGGGTTTGCCAGGTCGGATCCCCGGGGCTGATCTTCGCACTGCTTGTCAAGCCATGCTGTGGCAGGCGTCCCACATATAAAACAGAGGAAGGTGGGCATGGATGTTAGCTCAGGGCCAATCTTCCTCAGCAAAAAGAGGAGGATTGGTGGCAGATGTTAGTTCAGGGCTGATCTTCTTCAAAAAATAATCTGACAGATTACGTAATCAGTGTTTAAACATTTAAGAGTAAATCATTTATTTGCTGTGTAGGCAATGTGCTTTAAAGTTTGAGGAGAACAATTATTTTACCCAATTGACAAATAGGAAATTGACCATTAACTAAAGTCTAATACATAGTAGGGAAAGTTTTTCCCTGCTTATGAAAGTTACCCTTTGGGAATGACAATCCCACCAACTTTACAGAATCCTGCACTCCCCAGCAGGGTGGTGCCCTGGGAGAGAAAAATGAGACTGACCGATTATTCACATGTGTTTGAGCATATGAAAAAGTGACTGAAAACACTGGACTGATCTGTGGATCATTTGGGGGGAGATTTGCCATAGGCACATAGAAAACTAAAGAGATGCAGAAAAGGGCAATGTTAACATAAGGAAAACAGAGTTATTTGAAAAATGGAATGGGTTCATAGTATACGACTTGGCCTAGCAACGAATGCTATTTAGTGATAATAAAGTCAACACTTAGGGGAAGGGAAGTAGGGTGAGTGGAGTGAGAGAACTAAATCCTCGGCTTCTAAAGGAAGCAGTAGATAATGTCTCAAATTGTTAGGTCAAAAATAGCAGTATAGATGTATTATTTAGAAATACAGGAGAAAGAGCAAAATGACTTGTGAGTCATTGCTTCTGGGGAGGTGGGAAGAGTGGATAGGAGCCTGTCATCTTTCGTAATAGCTCCTCTGGCATTGTCTGATTTTTCAGCTAAGTGTGTGTACATTAATTTCATAAGAAGAAAAATTAACTATAAAACCCCTAAGAAGAACACAAATAACATAAAAATTAGCCATTGCCCAGAAACACTTGGTATGCAGAATATCCTTCTGGTCTATCTATAAATTGTGCTCACATGTAACTTTTTTTCTAATTTACACTTAATGGTGCATGCTCTCATGGCAAAACTGTATTTTTTCTATTAATACTTTTTAATATCCCATCATGGATGTGATAGAATCTAACCCATTCTCTGTGTTGGGTGTGTGAAGATTTTCTCTGTGCAAATGAAATAATTCAATGGTCATCTTTCTGCATAATATTTTTATCAATATTTGTGAGTTTTACTTTCCGTGAAATTCCTTGAAATGGAATTTTTGATTCAGAAAACGTCAATGTTTTCAAGGCAAATTCTTTTCTTCATTCTTGTTCCATCCTTCCTCTTCTTTTTTAAGCATAATTCTAAATTATACCCTGGAAGTCTTGGTATCCAAATTCATAGCATCCACTTGTAGAGAGAAGAAATAATGTCTCTCACCTTACCAGGATTAGAAATTAATAGTTTTTGTACTTGCCAATTTTGTCTTAAAAAGCTATCTTTACCTTGTTCCCCACCGTTGCTTTCATTTTGGAAGGCTGTAGTGTACCATAGTGATTAAGACAGTGAACTCCAGAGTCACACAGACCTGTTTTCCAATCCTCTGTCTGCTGCTTGAGTGGGGTGACCTCAGGGACAAGATACTCAAACAGCTAAGGCTCAATGTCTTTGCTTGTAGAATGCAGATGTTCGGGCACCTGCCTCCAGGGCATCCAGAGGAAAGCAAGGCTATCGAGAGAAGTCCTCGTGGAGAATCTAGCATGTAATAGAGACTCAAAAGATGAGATTTATTATTTTTCTTTGAGGTGAAAACTTTTCCATGTAATTTTTAGCTATTGTTTTTCTTTCCTGTACATTTGCTAATGTCCTTTGCACATATTTCTACTGGGATCTATTTTTCTTATCAACTTTTTTCTCAGGCCCCTTAAGTGACATTTAAATTTTTTTTCAAATATTTTCTTATTTTGTCATTAATGTTTTAATTCTTATGGCATTTTTTGACATATGGAAATCAAATATTTTTAGTCAAATGTATTAAAATTTTTTGATTATTTTCACATGCCTCATTGTGAATGTCTTAGAATGCTAGGATGGTCTGATTGGTAAAATCTCAATTTGGTAAATATTCATAAAAGATGTCAGAGCAGACAGGTGCCGCTCCCAACAGAGCTCACCCACCTGCCACCCAGGCCTTCTCTGCTGCATTTGTAGACTTCCTGACTAATTGGGTGTTAATTCACCTCTTGTTCTTTCACCCAGAATCCTCCGTACCTATCTGGATCTTCCAAAAGTAAGGACTTCTTGAGCAGCAGTCAAAACACAGGGCATTGGTCTGAGTTGGGCCTGTCTACTCCTTAGCTGAGACATATCATTTCATTTCTGTGAACTTCAGGTTGCCATCAGTAAAGAGGCGATTTATGACAGATATTTCTAAAGACCTGTTCTGCTTTAACATTTTATGCTTCTGTGACTCTGACCCGTCTGAAGACACCACGTGACCCATCCCATCCAGACTACTTAGGTGAATTCCTGACCTAGACATTGCCTGGGAAGCCAGGCCCGCTACCAGATGAACCTCCTGGTCCTCAGAGGCTTGCATTCTAGAGGTGAGGGTAAGCATGCACCCCACTGACCGTGTGTGGTGGGTTGAATAATGTCCCCTCAAAATTATGTCCACCAGAACCTTAGAGTGTGACCTTATTTGGAAGTAGGATCTTTGCAGGTGTAATTAGTTAAGGCTCTTGAGGTGAAATCATCATGAATTTAGTGAGGGCAAGTATTTAAATATGTGTCCCTGCTTTTTCTTTTTACAAAAATGAGATCATATGATAAACATTACTATTCAATTTTTTCACTTTAATATTAGAAACACACAATATAAATTTGAGGGCTTCACAAAGAACTACTCAGATTTTTTATGTGTCTCTATTTGCACATTAAACAAAAATATCAACCCTGACTGTGAATAGAGTGGAAATGCGGTAGACGTGTATGCCTATGTTTATGTAATATTGTTTTAAAACCTGTCCTTTCAGGTTCACCATCATGGATACTCTATCAGAAGCAAATGGCCCCTTTGTTTTAAAGCTTTTGAAAAAGCTGGGTGAAAAAAACTCGAAAAATGTATTTTTTTCATCCATGAGCATTTCATCTGATTTGGCCATGGTCTTCTTGGGGGCAGAGGGAAACACCACTGCCCAGATGTCCTAGGTACCAAAAGCCATTTAAAGACAAAAATAAATGCTGTTAATTAATCAGTTGAGCTGGTCTTCCACATTTCAAATCCCAAAGAAACTGCCCTTAACAGATAACTCTGCTAGTGTCACAGGGGTGTGGATGGAGAGGCGGCAGGATAGGGCATGTTACCACAATCTGACCATCCTGCGACCACAGAGCGTTTCCATGGATGTCTCTGATCTCTTAGGGATAGAGTGGTGGACACTTGATTCCGAAGAATGATGTTGTA